AATCTGCTGGCTTCACCATCTGATAGTCAGCTGCCCCTTAGGTAAGTTTATGTCCCTGGGGCTTCCCTTAGTTCCACTTGGGGCCAGGTTTTCTCTCTTACGTGGCAACCAGCAGTCCCTCTGCTCCCCCTTGTGCTAGGGGAAGCAGCTGGGGCTGGGGGCAGGGGGCAGAGCCTTCTTCTCCCTCATTCTGCTACATGCACAACCAATTAAACGTAAATGTCCAAGCAGTTAAACTGTTAAGTGACTTTCAGTCAAGAAAAATGAATTTATTCATAAAAGCAGTTTGCCAAAAAAAAAAGAAAGAAAGAAAGAAAAAGTTTTTTTATGAGGAATCCTAGAACCAAGACACAAACAAGGCCTCTTTTCTATGGATCTGGCCTGGTAGGGTCATAGCCCTCACAGTTCAGGACTGTTCTCTATTAGTATTTTGTCCCATCTAGTTTTAAAATATTCTGTATCATGTGAAAGCTACGAAAACATAATTTTGTTTGTTACTAGATGAAATTCAAACAACCATTTCCTACAAAAATTGAAAAGTTAAGTATTACATTTTTACACAATACGTTTTCAATTAACTACTGGTACAAAAATAAACTGCCCAGCCCTGTGAACTAGCAATGGTAGCAGAAACTCTAATAAGGGAAATCCAAAATATCTTCCAATTGCCTTAACAGGGATGTGCTTCATTTTGAACGCAAATATATACCAATTTTGCAGAAACACAGGGAAATATATATTCTCAATTACTTTAGAAGTATACAGTCAGAAAAGACAGATATTTACATCACCACATTAACTACAGTGCTATTACTGTACTGCTCTAATAAGTCCTTAGGCATTCTAAACCCCTGTCTCATGTCAGTCTCACATTTAGCAGGATAAAAATAAGGTTTCCATTAGAATATATAATTATAGGCATATTATAATAATAGACTTCTCTTTTATTAAAGATACTTCCATAGAAGGCTTTAAGAGCTTTATGACAATTGGCTAATTTAAAAATCACAACCGCCCTGTGAAAATGCATTATGGTCCACATTGTACAACATGGATATTGTTCACAGAAAAAAGCAACTTACCCAAGATCACCTAGTGATCAAGTATGGATCGGAAATTAGAACTCCTGGCTCCTGGTCCCATATTCTGTCTACCTGATAGCCTATCTTAGCCTTATGGACAATTGTTTTGTGTACATAAAAAGCAATTACTACACAGCAATGATAAGAGTGAGTTGTGGTGTATGACAGTGTGTGACTATGGTAAGCACTATGAGCACATTTTTATTTGTGAACAAAACCATTTTAATATAATTTACCAGCACTCAACTATAAATAAAAAAATCTTCCTGCCAAAAACATTTAATTGTTATGACTGAATCTAGTAAACGCTGAAAAATCTTGGTTTTTAATTTAATTTCCAAGCTACTGTTAAATGTAATAAACTTCTTAAACAAGCTCTCTACTTTCCTAGATTGCTATAAGCAAAATTCCCCTGGCCCTCTTTTCTCCAGAAGTCAATGACAACCTAAGGAAACCTTGGAGTCATTCCAAATTTCTGTCAAGAGACTCTGAAATAACTTCTAGGAATATAATTTTAGTCCTATTCAGTATCTTGATTTCTGCATACTAGATAACACCTGTTTCATCTGCACATTGTATACTGTCTAGACTGCAGAAGCAAGATGTAAGTAAAACTGGTTTTGGCTAGTAAGTTGTGGGCAAACTAATGGACTTACACTGGTTCTTTATGTTCACCAGCATAAGAACCTGCTTTGTGTGGTATGAAAAGGGTCTTTCATCAGACAGTTATTGCCTGTAAAAGTGAAAGGCTACTTCATTGTGGTACAATTCTCTGCTCCAGTTTTATTCCTTTCTGAGTGAAAGTGCCACTGTATTAGTTTTGTAACTTGCCAGCCCAACCCAGTTAGTGTAACATTTGGATTCTTTCCTTACAAAGACAAAGGACCATAAAACTTCAGTTCAGTGTACTTAGCACAGAAAAGGAGTTTCCAAAGTTTCTATTTGCTTTAAGGAGATGTTATTTTTATACAGTGAATTTCCATGTAAGAATTCAATATTCCTGAATACAGTCTTTGAAAAGTATCTAATTGCCTCATATCCTTTGCAAATGCTGTGAAGTGAAGGAATAAGCCATGAGACAGAAAGACACTTGAAGTAGATCCATCATAAGGCATTTACCACAAAGGGCTGTGTATAAATCAGATAATGGGAGATACCCTTATTATAAGACCTTATGACTTTGGCATACATTGCTAGATCTCATCTGAGTTGGTTTAAAAATGCAGAAGACTCATTTCCCCTTTTACTAAACTATTACATTCTAGTTCAAGGTCAACTGAAATCTACCTAATGTCTATTCTAATGGAAACAGGAACTGCTGGCTTGCATTTCCATTTATTTGTCCCTGAACACTGTCACCTTGACATTAAGAGGACAATAATGGATTGTTGAATTCACTCAGGTGCTGAAATGTGTTATCAAATGCTTAATTTCACGTCAAGTCTCTACTAGCAAGTAGAATGAAAAAATTACTTGCCACTTGAAACACAGATCTCAGTTTTCCAAAATAGTTATGTTGTGTGCACAAGTAAGTGCCTGTAAGTCTAAATACCCAGTATTGTGCACCTACAATTATGCATCTGTCATTTTAGGCAGCCACTTTTAAAAACTAAATTACCTAGACAGAAGTTAAGATTGGGATTTCTAAAAGCACCTACAGGCATTTTTATGCATACAAGTCCCACTAATAAGTGAGATGAAATTAGGAGCCTAATTCTTTGAGGCTCCTCTGAAAATCTCAGTCTTAAATCATAGCTGTAAAAATAAAACATAAACCAACACTAGGATACATACATTTTTCCATTATTAAAGGAAAAAGGTATCCTTTATCTAATAATTCAGTGACAACTGTGAGTGTTCAAAGTCCTTGCCCTTATAGGGGACAGCTAATGAAGTAACATTACAAAAACATTAAAGATCACGTATATGCAAGAGTATGTTCCAATTATTACTCATTATATTTTCCTCCAAAGTTCTAATTATTTTTCATCAGTACCATTATTTCTGAATTACTGGTTAGATAACTCAGACAGGAGATGTACTCTGATTCAACAAGACATTTAAATATCTGAATTACTCTACTGAAGTCCAAACTTGGGTTTTAAATAAGTACATGTGTGTTGTTGCCTTGACAATGTCACATTTAGGCAATAAAATGGGAACCAAGTTCAGAAGCTATTTCATTACTTCTATGAACATTAACTCATGTTGGTAACCGAAATTCTTTTTAAGAAAAAAAAAGGTACCAAACACTTAAGCATGTGTGTACACAGTATCTTATCTTTGTCTCTTTTAAGTCTAAGTTCCTTTAGGCAGGGACACTGTCTTCCTTTTAGTTTTATATGACATCAGGCACATTGTCAGCCTTCAAATAATAATCATGAAAGTTCTTGGCAAACCAGGTTTTCTAGAACGGTTGGCTGATTTCTAAAAACACAGTTGTACACAATGTGAACAAGGACTATTAGCCCATGATAATTGAGCTGAACCTCTTCTGCAGAGAGCAAATGAGTCTATAGGCTGTCAATCTAGTGCTTATCAGAACAAAATTCATAATTAACTCATTTTTAAATGAAAGAGCTTTATTTCAAAATTTCTAATAAACCTTCCTTATAGACAAATGAAGGAAAGGCAGCAGGCTGTCTCTTAAACAGGACTCCTTTTCTGCCTGCACCATTGGTTAAACACATGCAGGATGAACGGCTACATTCATATGTAGTTTCTGCATAAAGGGCCAGCAAAGGAAGTGTGTTCCCAAAAGGAATTTCCTAGAGCGGTTGAGGTCAGCTCATACTGCATGGACCAGCTGACTGGGAACTCGAAAACTAGGCCAGAAAAGAAGGAACTGTTCTGTTCAAAGTCTGGTGGGATTTATTTACAGTCCCCATCTGTTCACATACAGACTGGCACGCAGAATATCAGCATCTATGCTGGATAGTTAGGAAAAGCCTCAGGATATTTAGGTGTCACAGCCTTTTATGCCAAGGATGTCTGTTCACATCACTGAAGAAGCCAAATACTTATAGCTCCAGAAGTGTTCTTAACAACAAGAACATTTAAGGGCCTTTATGAGATTATTACAGCCAGCCGCTACACACCCACCCGCTTCCATTTCACTACCGCAGGTCCCATTACACTTCTTCCCCCTTGTGCTTCCTGGCTGCAGGCCGGGTTACACACCTGCCCCCTTCCATGTCATGACTGCAGGCCATCCTCTCCACTTTTTAGGATGCTTCTTCAGCAGGTGCATCCTCGTATGGCCTGGCTATAAACCGCACTGAAATCTCCCATTCATTCACAATCCTATTGCAAAAAACAACAACTTGCTGTCATTGTTCCCACCACCCCTGTCCTGGATCTTTTTGTCACCCGGGTCTGAAACCGCGGTTCGTAGCTACAAACTACTAGGCCGGACCTTGTGTGCGGATGCCTGCCTCTCGCCTCTCCCAGCGAGGGCTCTCCCGCCGTGCGCACAGCACGCGACCAGGACCCTCCGCAGAATGGGTGCCAAGGCCTCCCACCGCCCATCCCCGCCCAGCGGCACCAAAGCGCCTGGCCCTGGAAGCAGAGTCCAGAGAAGGCGAAGGGAGGAAGGAGAAGGAGAGCCCCGGCCTGGGGCTGCACCGAGGAGCACTCAAGTCACCCCAGGACGGGCCCATGAGGGGCGGCAGCGACCGCCGCCACCCAGCTCCTGGGCTAAAGCTTGAGACCCCGCTGGGGCCGGCCCCTGCGGGCAGGATGTGAGCGCAGGCCCCG